TTACCCTCGCCTTCATCACCCTATGTATTCTTGATTTTATAAACCGTCAATAAATCCAGAATATCTAATAGTTGGTATGATACTTCTCAGACTTAACTTGGTTCTGATACTTCTCAGACTTACTTGGTTCTGATACTTCTCAGACTTACTTGATTCTGATACTTCTCAGACTTACTTGGTTCTGATACTTATCTCACTTGAAAATGATCCTGATATTTCTCCCAAGGGAAATGACCCCTATGAAAATGATCCCCTATCAAGCTTCTCGGTTGTATCAGCGACATTTTCACAGGAGTACCCTGTCTGGTCAAGGGCACGCATTGTGGAAATGTCGAATCACCCTTTAGAGGAAAGCTATGCTCGCTGTTTCTCAATTTCTTTTTTCTTGGAATTAATGAAAAACTAAACTAAAATAATAATAATAATAATAAAAAGATAAAAAAAAGAAAGAAAGAAAAAAATCAACAAGTTTCCAACATCAATTTTACGTCAGTGTCGATACCTGCCCGGAGGTATCGAGGCACTTTACAAGATTAGGTCATTATTTACTGAAAAAAATTAACATGACTTGTACATTTGGTCAAACACGCCAGTTCTGATTTTTATATTTCCTGTAAATAGCATGTTTATGTAGACGAGAGAGATTCACAATCTGTTATAGGTTTATGTAGACATGAGGGAGAGAGAGATCACATCCTGTTTTAGAATTCATTTTGTGTATGTATATCTATGTTTCAGATTTCTCGTATGTGTGCGTAAAAATAAATTTATATTGTAAAGTAGGCTTACATGAAATATGAAAGTATGAAATATATATTTCTTTTCGGATAAAGTAAACTGAATAAACTCAGGTGTATTATTTTATTTATATATTTACATGGCGGATCTGTGGTTCTCAGCTTTTAATGGTAACCTGCAAAGAAAATCGAATAGTAATTATTTAAAGTTCTACGCAAGGTTATTTTAAGCAAAACTTGTGTATGTAATAATTAGTCATTTGATGTCACTTATTTTTCACGATTTCTTACCATGACCTCCGTGTCCGTAGCCTCCGTGACCGCCATGTCCACCATGCCCATAACCTCCGCCGTGCCCGTAGCCTCCGCCATGTCCTTTGCCGTACCCACCATGGCCATGGCCCTTACCATACCCTCCATGTCCATGGCCTTTGCCGTACCCTCCGTGGCCATGTCCTTTGCCGTACCCACCATGGCCATGGCCCTTACCATACCCTCCATGTCAATGGCCTTTGCCGTACCCTCCGTGGCCATGTCCTTTGCCGTACCCACCATGGCCATGGCCCTTACCATACCCTCCATGTCCATGTCTTTTGCCGTAACCTCCGTGGCCATGTCCTTTTCCGTACCCTCCGTGGCCATGTCCCTTGCCGTACCCTCCGTGGCCATGTCCTTTGCCGTACCCTCCGTGCCCATAGCCGCCATGCCCCTTCCCATACCCAGGGTCGGGGTCTGCCATTGCCATGGCGACCATCACCAGCACAAGGGTTGCTACGAGGGCGACGCGCTGTTGGGAAATAAAGATTATTTATATTTTCCATGTCGACGGTTGACAACAGCGCAGTCTTGCGATTTCCTTATTTTCAAATATTCGGAGATGGAGATTTGGAGAAAATAGTTATCCAGCTGTGTCTCTAACGCACCATCTTGAGAGGTCTGCTGTTCGTGGTGGAACCAGACAGTCACTGGATGGCCTGGTCGGCGTTGGTCCCGTTCTTATAGTGGACGAGACTGCCATGAAGCAACACCATGAAATGGCCGGGAACTGATCATGGCTCGCTACACTGGCAACAAAGACTGTAGAAGGGAAGATTTTTCCTTTTTTTACTGGTGGGGGAGTGATGTCGGCCATTTGC